TACAGAACTTCCCGATACCGCCCATCCCGGCCAATTTGAAATCAGGACCGTTGGTCCCGCGAGTACTGATATCCCGCACCCATCTCTATTGACGAGCTTCGTCAAGCACCTTAGATTTATACCCTCTATTTCGTTCTTAAAGCGCTATTTGGTTTTACTGCGACTGAACCTCTCATCGAAATCATATTAAGCCAATTTATTTTGCTAAATAATTTAGGATTGATTACCTTATTTAGGACTCGGTGAATACAATAACGGCATATAAGAGAACTTGTCTAACAAGATAGGGACGTATAGATTAGAGGTTTTGCAAAAAAAGATTCCAACCGCGTCTTTCACTTTTCTTTCTTATTCCTTTCTTTTCCTTTTTCGGTAAGTTTAATTTAATTTTATCTTTTATTTTACTTAGCGTTACTTTAATAATGACTTGCGATCAAATAATTGCTGTATCTAAGCTGATTAAACGCTGGAGAGATTGTTAATTGCGTACAATTTTCACTTTTCCAATTTTTTTTTAATTAGACATGAGAAAGCTATTACAATGACGGCGAAAAATTAGCACAAAAACTCAAAACTATCTACATATTTCCACGTGTTCAAACATTCATGCATGCATACTTACATGCATACATAAATATAAACGTACATACTCATATATTTATTTGATCCTCAAATTATTTATAAATACAGCGCTTACCATTCAGCTTTACTACAAAAACGTAGATCAACGAAAAGCGATTGAATATGGATCGATGGAGATATGTATCTACTACTGTAGTACATAAATATGTATAAATGTACCCGTACACATGTATGAACATTAGGGTACATCACTCTCCATTAAAAAAAAAAAACTCGGTACTGATTTCCATCAAAATTATAAAATTTGTTATACTTTAAGACTTTGTGCAGATCTTTTAAGCTTAAACTCTGCTCTCATCTGAAGTGATTTTTATGATTTTGATAAGAAAAATGTATAGTGGAACTCATCTGCTTTTAATAAAATTGTGTTATATATTAAATTGTGCGCGCGGACTCGTCCATTATCTATATACCCTTAAGGTCAGCTGGTTAAGTTAAGTTACATCTTGACCAGTTTTGGTTTTTTATTTTGTTAATCTAATGCTTATAGTTCTTTTTTATAAAAGCCTAGCACATTAAATAACCAGAACCACATAAATCCACACTTAAAACTTCGTACAAAAATTATAAAAATTCAACAAGCCTTAACAATTACGCCCAAAAATTTTACACTTCTTGTTCCCAATTTTTGGAAAAATTCTAAGTATGTAAAAGGCACTATCCTAAGATAAAACGTGAGTGAATTTAACCCCTACTTGGTTTCTTACATTTTGTAATAACTAATCTTTATATATGGACTACACTAAAAGCTCCTTTTCATCTAAAAATTCGTACGTGTCCTACCCGTGACAAACGTTGTCCCACCCGTGACAGAGGATTTTTGGATTTTTTTGTATAATAAAGCCATAATTGTTTTGTAGTTTTTGCTTTGCTTGTGTTCCTGATTCTTTGTTTTATTATAAGACATCAAGTTCACACAGAAAAGTGAAATAAATTCGCAGAGTTTCCGTAAAATATATCTGCTCCAAAAAGCAGGTTATTTTTTTGTCCCACATGTGACAGAAGAAAGAAATCAGATTTTTTCCATATAAAAGTAAGCTGGATATTTTTTCGTATTTTGTAATAACTCATATAATTATCAATTAGGTGTAGCTTTAACAAAATGTAGAATTGTTGAGTACCTTATACTTAAATTTAAACAGGAAAGAAAATTGTTTCTGTACAAATGTCCAACCCGTGACGGTGGAATCGCCCGACTACATAGACTTACTTATGAAAATTGCGATTTTTTTTAAGTATTTTCAAATTAAATATTATTGACTTTATAATTCTGGTGGAAATACCGCAACCTTTTTTGGTGAAGCACCTTAATGTATATACATACATACATACATACATACATACACATATGCAAGCTAAAGCTATAAGCCTTCATAGCTAAACAAAAAAAAAGCACCTGTTTCATGTTAGTTTACCCACAGCCAACATTACTTTGCGGCTTTTACTTGCTTTGATTTTTACGCTCAGCTGATTCGATTAAGGCTTTCTGCACATTGGTCGTCCAGTCATAGTTGCTTCATTGTCACAATCATGATGCAACGATTACATGACGACTACACTTTCGCACACTCGGTCGTGATATTTCAATTCATTTGGCTTCTAAAAATTCACTTGGAGCAGGTATTTTCTGTTTTTCTGGTTGATATTCTCGCGAAATATTTACAAAAACCTGCAATTTTTAAAATATAGACTGTGCTGCAACAATACTAGACATAATTTTTCAGTTATATCTCTTCTTTTCTTTTCCTGAAATGTGTTTTGTGCATGCACACAGACTTTTTACAATTTCATCATATTTTATAGCTAAAATGCTCACATTTATTGAATTTTAATGCAGTTATCCACTTTTTAATAATTTCCACAGATTTTATGCAAAACATACTAATTTTTATGCAATTTTAATGCAAATATTAACTTTTTCCCTATTTTTTCCCCATAAAATGCAAACAAACAATGCGTGCACAACGATTAGCAAACGACATTGTCGTACTTATCCGTTTCTGCATCTTCTATGATTTGCCGATAACTAGCCGATAACGACAAGTGTGCAGATCTCCTTTGAAATGCATGTGCTCGGCTCAAAATTTTAGGGCTAGACGATAACGCAACTATGATTGGACGACAAGTGTGCAGATAGCCTAAGTTTACTACTTTCCCATTGCCAATTTTTTTCGCTTAGACTGATGTGTGGTGTGGTAGCTACAGTATTGATAGCTTTCATATTATCTCTAGTCAGACTTAAGTGCGCACCGCGCTTGTATGTAAGTGCGCAGCTGCAGCGCCCAATTTCGACATTTATTAGCCAATAATTTGTTTAAAAAACTGCATTGAAAGCATTTTTTACGTTTACCGGCCTTTTTTCAGCTTCTTCTTTGCCTTAAATTGGCGCTTAGTGGTTGCTGTTTTTTAATTTTTTTTTCTCTATGATTATTATACATACATATACTTTTATAATTCATATGAAGAAAGTGGTCAGTTGCAGGAATCAGGCAGTTAGATTGGCATTTAATTTGATTTATGCAATAGGAATTATTTATCTTAAAATTTTTGTTGTGGTTAAATATTTTTGCGAAATTAAAATTTTCAAATGAGCACGAAAGGTACGAATTAACAAAAAAGCGGTTACTTGTTAATTAAATTTTGCATAATTTTGTTACTTGAACAAAAATAGTAATGATAATTTCCCTAAATCTGTAAAATTGCTTACGCTATTACAACACTGACAATAGCTAAAGGAGTAGACCGCTTGCGTATCATTCTAGAGATTCTCGGTTCAAATTTCAGAGCAGGAAAAAAATCTCGAATCCTGTTTTTCTTAACCTCTTTAATTGAAATATATATTTTTATCTAATTTGAAATCTCAACACAACGCGAAATCCCAGTAAACTCGAACCTGGAATCTAAGTACCAGTTGTAGCCCGTTTGTGCTGTCATTGTGGCACTTTGAAAACAAATCTCATGGCATGGAATTTGAATCAAAATTTTCGAAATATGTATTCGATATTTCACCAGTTAATCTGCAGCAAAGTTTATTCCCCAGTTTGCTATTACCTAACCGTGATATTTTTCAAGCGGAAGTAGCTGAAATTAAATGAGTAGTAGATTGGATTGTACCTCTATCCCATTAGGGCTTCTTATGGATTTTTTTTAGATTTACTCGGAATTTCTTTCAGAATATTTTTTTGGGAACTTTTAGGGCTTTTTATGGACTTTCAGATGCCTTCGAATTTTTAATAAATTTTTTGAGTCCTTTTTTTGTTTAACTAACGTTTTTGTTTGAGATCAGTTCTTTTGGGAAATTTTCATGATTACTTTAGGACCTTTCAAAACTTTTGTAGGCAATTAGAGACTTTTTGAGATACTATGCATTTTTTTTTAATTTTCTTATATTCGAGATATACATACATATTACATTTTTTGACATTATCGGAATATTTGTTTTCCTTTAAAGATTTTTCGGCCTTTCTCAGATTCTTTCCAAAATTTTCAGAACTTTTTATCAACTTTCGATATTTCTATGCACTTTAATAGATTTCTATTTTTTTTTTAGTTTTTCATGTTTTATTCTCTTTAAAATTTTTTTGCTGCGTTTCGAAGATTTTGGTACATTTTTTTTTTTTGGTTTTCATAATGGGTGTTTTTCTGGAGTTCTAGATATTTTTTTAAGCTTTCAATGTACTTTGAAGGGGTGAATACGATCTTTTAAGAATTTTCCGCGATTTTTCTAAATCTTTGGTATTTAGTGGTATGTAGGGGAAAATTCCAAAGTTTTCGAATATTTTTAATATGTGTTCGAACACGTTTAGTTTCTTTTGGCATTTTGTGCACATTTAAAGCATTTTTGAGGTTTTATCAGGGTTTTCGGTATTTCTCACTAAGAACTTTGTTGTTTAATTTTTATTAGTTTTTAGATTTATTCATTTCGGACATTTTTCGAAATCTCTTCGTGTTTTAAAGACTTTCTGTATTTTGTCTGCGAGTTTTTAAATTGTTTTATTGGTTTTTGGAAAATATTTAAACTTTTTTAATTGTTTGGAACATTCCGGGATTTTTCTGAACTTCTTGAAGATTTTCTGGATTTCTCAGCCGTCTTATTAGTGACTTTAGGTAACACCTGTACACACAAAAAAAGTGTTGTGTGCTTTTAACCAGGCCTACCTACCGACATGTATTTCGATCCGCTGAATCCGAATCTGAGGCCCGTTGGACTAGTGTACTCTCAAAATTTCTAGTAAATTGCGAAACACCGAACCCTGCGGAATGGTAGCGCGCACTTCTAACCACTATACCACAGCCGCTAATATTTTTGGGCTATATTTGGATAAAAGAATAAAGGGGGCCTCAGACAATTTACTTACTCAATCAACCATTGATTTTTTCCTAACATTTCGATTCAACTCTTGAGATCTCAGTTTTCTTTGAGATTAGTAATTAGTGCTACACTGCTCTTAACTAGCCTTGCTTCCATTATAGTAAATATTGAACCACACTTCCAAAACGAACACCTCAGACACAACAAATTAGTTAACAGCGCGTGTTAACCAACGAAGTATGTAACTAAGCCCAAGTGCGGCTGGCACTTGATGCGCTCCAGCGACGGCCGCTTGATCAGTGACTATTGAATGAATTGAAGCGCAACACACTAGCGCCCGCGGTAAACCAAGTTGCCGACGAAGCATTAAATTTCATATAAATGTTTACAACTTAACTATATAAAAAATAACTGTAATGTTATACTTATGTGCGAATTAAAAAAGTAAATTATTTGCAACGGCGCTAATGCGCCTGCAAAGTCTGCTTTCTTACAAAAATGCATATCAAATTGTTTACCCGCTTCCGTTGCTTAAATTAAAGAAAAAAATCGAATTAAGACCGCCGTTACTTAAGTTCCACCCTCATAACTCCTCGTTTGCATTTGACACTACTACTTCCTTTTACATGACACCGAGTGGCGCTGTCGCTGAAATGAATGATGCGCCAAGTTTTGGAGTGGAGTGCGTGCTCAGCAGGCGAAGGAAGGTTCCTTATACAAAAGATCAACACGATGTCATATAAAGTGAAGTATGTACTTGTGTATTTATATGCAAGTACATACATACATATGTACATGTGTTTATAACTATGAATGTTTGCACTTTTTATAGGCTTGCTTGCACTATTGTATTTATTCAATCGTCGACCCCGAAAGGCGTGCGAACACTTGTCAACAACAAGTCAAAATGTGGGTCCATTAACGACTTCATCTTTGGGTGTAAATTGCCGGCTGCGCTGTTATTGTAACTGGTATTTCTTTCAACTGCGCTTCGCTCTTTTTTACTCTGCCTGTCGACAGTTGCTTACACTTGTATGCGCTGATCTTTTTATTTAACTGATTTTGTTTTTTTTTTGTGAACTCTTGCATGGAACGAAATGAATTTATTCTCTTCTGCTCATTAATTACACGCTTGAGTTCCACATGCTTCTTTTGATTTAGTTTTTCTTACTTCTCCATTTTAGTTTTCTTTATTTTGTACCTTTTTTGATACACTAAAATTTTGTGGATGGTAAGCTTATTGTTCTTATTGTACGATCGCTTGACATTCACTTGTAGATTCTTACGCCTCCGTACGTACACTGTTTACTTGAAGAAAAGCTTTTTTAATCCATGAGCTTTTGTTTTATTTCTCTTTGCTTTACTAATGTTTTTCAAGTAGCCCACTAGTAAAGCGGTGACCTTGAATAATATTTATAAAAAAAATAAAATTTGTAAACTTAAGGATTTTAATATTGCGAGTTTAAAATCTGGTAAGTTATTCTCTTTTTTAAAGCATTCATAAAAATAAAAGCTAACATAAATCAAAAATTTACCGCTTTACTTGCACAGAATATAAAACACCAAAAAGTTCCGAATAAAATTTGAAAATTTTCGACTGTTCCCGAAAATATCTGCAAGTACCCGAAAAAATATGAAAATGGCCGAAAAATCATAAAAAGTACAAAAAAAGACAATAAAAAATCTCAAAATTTCGAGGGAATCTTGAAAAGTCTGGAAGGAACAAGAAATTCACGAATCATTTATTTTTTATCAAAGACTAAAAACTAGAATTAAAAAAATAGGGGCAAAGCCAAAACAAAAAACACAGAATATACCAAAAAATCACGAAAGGCTGCAAATAAATTGAAACATCCCGAATAATACAATCAGAGGAAAGAAAGTTCCCTTAGGGATCTAGGGATGTTACCTTAGAATTCCACAAAAATCCCGAAAAATCACGGGTGAATCTCGAAAAGACCCGAGAAAATTGAGAAGTGACCCAAAGACACTAGCAAAAAACGAAAAATCGTGAAAAATAAAGAACTGTTCCAAAAAATACCGAAAAATTTCGAAATATCTAAAAAATTGCCCTGTTTCAATTTTACTAGCTTTTCGTGGCATCATCAGGCTTCTTTATATGTTTCGGTGTTAATTTCCAGACCATTATTGGTTATGATGAACGAACAGGCCCTTTTAATAAGTTTATATCAGCAGAGAAGGGATTAGTAGAACTGTAGAGATCTTCGACTCTACCTGCACATCAGGGTTTGCCTTCACGTCTCTTCCACTGGCTCCTATTTTCTCTCGGCAAGCATATTACTGCCGGACCACCAATGGATGTCTTTCGTTAAATGGATATATTCTTCCATTAGGATGGTGCGGATTGCCGAATTGCTGAAAAGGCGAAGCGCTCCTCTTGGTGTCTCGTAATTGCCGAGTATGTAGACATGGGTATTTAGAGGAGGCCTTTTTACCCGTGCATCGATCCAGAGCTTCATTATAGCTGTTCGGTTTAATATATTTTCTTGGCCAAGAGAGAAGGAAAGCGAAAAGGAATAGGTTAAAAGGGGAGAGCCTCAAGTCGCAGAAAGTTCGTTTTTACCCAAAGAGTATAACCGGTATTTGCAAGCCATTGCTTAAAATCGCCGAGTGAAAGGATAATTCGACACTCTTCAGGTCTAAACCCATAATATTTAGTAAAAATATGATACCTTCGCGAAGGATGTGATTTTTCATCTTTGGTTCTCGATTAGTGATTTCCCCGTCTTAAGAATGTCTACAGAACAGAAACTACTACTAAGAGCGTAAATATTACGTGCACGTATACACACTGAGACCATAACGATGTGAGTGCGACAACGTTGAAAAGCACTTAGCACACTGACACTGCCACTTTTAGTTCATGCTTTTAATTGCAATGTCCGCCCCTGGTCTACTACATATTTTCGTAATTCTCTTCTGTTGCATTTTATCTTCTCACAAAAAAGAACATACCGCCAAGAGGACTAAGTGTATAATTCCAAATTACAATATTGAAATATTAATCAACTAACTTAAAAGAAAATAATATTTTTTATTTCAAAACACTTTATATTTCATTCAATGATATCTAGCCACTCGATTGACTCCATAATAGCCGTAAATGGTCGTAGCATCCTCACGCGGCTTGCGCCTTTTCAGCGGTATTCTCTTGAACAGTTTGGCCACAGAAGTCGTCACAAACGCAGCAATTATTAGTCCCAAAGCCGCGCCAGCCGCAATGTCCGTCCAGTGATTATGATGCGTATAGAACCGCTCCATTCCAACCAGTGTGGCCAAAGTTAGACAACCAAACTGCAGCAACGTCTTATATATCAACAAAGCACCTGCAGTGAGGCGCGCCTGTAGATAGAAGATCACAAAGCACATAGCATAGCAAACGGTGGCAGTGAATCCACTAGGAAACGAATGCCGCGCCATGGTGAGCAAGTTAGCAGAGGCGGCCAGCTCATAGCATTCGTAGTCCTCAATATAGCCGGTGATATTTTGTGCCTCCTCCGCATAGCGATCACAGGCTGTGCCACCGCCAAGCGTCTCTAGCAGCTGCGGCTGACATACATCGAAGAAGTATGGACGCAAGCGGCCGACAAAGTGTTTGGTGGCGTTCACCGCTATCAATACAAGCGCCAAGCCGAAGAAGTAGATGCCCACAATTTTGTAGCACTCACTGACGAAGGTTGGCACGCTAATGCCAACGAAAACAAACTGCTGAGCGCCACCGGCGCGCTTACCAACTGCGGTGTTGCCCGCAGCGGTATTTGCTGATTTTTGCTTACGCGCGGCGCGCACTGCCGCCCACAACATCTCTACCACCAGCATGAAGGCGGCGGGGAGCGCGATCACCACTATGGTGATGTGTACGCGACTTAGCAGCGAAGCGGTGTAAGGGTAACGTAATGACGCGTCGCTGCAAAAGAAGCCGCGTCGCGTGGTCGCCAAGAGTTTCGGGAGCGCAATTAGCGCAACGCAACAGAGCGCAATTAAAATCACGACATCTACGATGAGACGCAGCAGCAGACGCGAGCTCGGGCTTTTGCACATTCTACTCGTGGCGCGTGTTCACTCGAAGTGCGGCACAGGAACAACCGGGAAAGATGTGTGGGTAGCGCGCGAGTCTAAAGGGGTAGTAGAACCGGGGCGCGCGCGCGCGTACTTGATTAGTTTAATGCGAAATGTCTGCTTTGCTGATTTGATTGTTTGACTTAATTAGCTTTCGCGTTTTTTTTTACGCGCCGTTGTTTGCTTGTTAGTTGTTACAAAGTTGTTTGCTGCTCATTCAATATCATTTAATTCCATTCAATTTTATTTTTCGCAATTTTCCGCTGCGTCTGCTAAAGTCAAATTCATTATTTCCTGCTGTTTACTTGCGCGTTCTTGAATAATTAAAACTCTTCTTCTTTGTTTCCTTTGCCTTGGAAATCTGTTTTTTCGCGCGCACTTTACTTATTTCACTAAATAAGCGTCAATTTACGCCTGCCTGCCAGACGCGTCGAAGCGACATCGAAGACTGAAGCCACGAACTTGTCGAAATCTATGAGAATGCTGCGATGATTTCAGCGGCTGATGGAATTTTTTTTTTTTTTTTCTGAAAATCAAATTTACATATGAATATTGCATCGAATTTCAAAATAGAATTTGAGCTAAACCGCTGTAAGTTTGGTTTATGGAAAAAATTTGAATTAAAAAGTTTAAGCAGCAAAAAAACACACTCAAACACTACCCGAGAATCAATAATAATAGCAATCAAAATACCAACAAGCTAATATAAGTTTGTAAAGTCAACAATACCTCGGCTGCGGAGGTAATATGTATGAACAAAAATTTAAGTGCTATTACAAATACAAAGTGGCGAACCGGCTGTACAATAGTTAGCTGCAGGAACAACAACAACACTCGTTGTTATACAAAACTAAATAGCAACAATGCATACAGTATTAACTCAACAACAAAGGCAAATTACAATAATAACAAGTTTAGAACAACAAAAAATCGTTACAATAACAACAGCGCTCGCCACTATAACAATAAGCCTCACTACAACAATAATAAGATTACTAAAACAACGCCGCATCGCATTGAACACCCAAATTCAGACATACAACAACACTTCACAAAAAGAATTAGCTTCATTACAACAAAAGTAAACAGCGCATCTAAATGTCACAAAGGCAATAACAACAAAAACAGCCATAACAAAGCGTACAAGTAATGAAAACAATTTAGAAAAAACACTCCCATGAAAATAAT